AAAAAAAAAAGATACAAAATTCTCATAGGACTATATATATACAATTCGAGAAAGAAAAAAAAAAGGATACAAAATTCTCATAGGACTATATATATACAATTCGAGAAATAATATATTTAGGAATATAACAAAAAAGAACAAAAAAAAAAATAATATAAAATAAACAAGGCCCGAGAGACTGTCTTGTATAAAACACAAAAATTGCGACCACAAGTTCTTGTACGAGACAAATGATCAATGAGGTTGGTTTGATTTTTTCAAAATATACATTTAAATTGGAAAATAGAAGTAAAATATACTTTTGGTACTGAAAATTAACATTATAAAAACTTAACAAAAAAGTCTTGCATCCTAATTTAACCCAAAAAAAATGACATTGCATAATAAAAGAGAGTCTGACAACATAAAGGCCACGAAAAGAGGCAAAGAAAAAAGAGAAAAAAAAAAAAAGGGAAAGAGGAGAGGGAAAAGACAGAAAATAGTAAAAGGGTTTATCAACTTTTGGTCCAATTGTTTGAACAGACAACTTGCGAGATAACAAAATTCCCTTATATTTAATTTGGTGGAGATAAAAATTATTCTTCTTATGTTTTAGGTAGTGATAAATTTATTTATTTTTTTTTATGTAGAAATTGCAAATTTAATCTAAAGCATTTATAGATCTTTAAGGTATAATATGCCAAAATAGAGACTTTTCAATTGATTGTAAATTTATATATCATATTGTGTGTATCAGATATGGAGAGATATTTTAAAAAAAAAGCCTAGCCAACAAAGTGTTCGTGAAAATGTCACAAAATGAGATACTTTGAATTTTGGCGTTGATTTTGTCGATTGCAACAGCTAGCGTGGAACAAGTGTTTTTCGCAATAAATAATATTAAGGATAGTAATTTTCGCAATGAATATGAATAATAATAACAGATACTTTGAACTGTGCCGTTGATTTTGCCGATTGCAACAGCTAGCGTGGAATGAGTGTTTTTCGCAATGAATAATATTAAGGATAGTATTTTTTGCAATGAATATGAATAATAATAATCTATATATATATAAAAAAAATTACCATTTTTCAAAAATAGCAGGTCAAATTTTGGTCAAAATCATTTTGCATTAATTACATTCCATTATTAGTAACTTTTCTTTTCTTTTTTTAATAAAAAAAGTAGCATTAAATGCTACCCATTAATTAAGGATTTTGTTATTTTGGTTTTCAACAAAACCATGAATGTTGCCTATTATTTGGGGATGATGTTGTTTTATTTTTAAAAATCATGTTTAATAAAGGAAATAAGTATATATTACCCTAAATTGTTGGATAATTAGATTGTCTTGCTTCGCGTCTTTACTTGCTTAATAAATTAATTAGTGCTGATTTAATACTCAACTGGTCAAACCTTTTTTTTTTCAAAATTAAAATAAATATGTATAACCGATAAAAAAAAAAGAATTAAATATGTATAGATAATATATTAATTACTTTACAAGCTAGCCCTAATATACAAGTGAAAAATATATGATAACCCTATTGATTTTCAGACTTAAACGAACATAGTCGTCTGAAAATAATTTATTTAATATGTATGTCCCGTGCATTGCACGGGGTACATACTAGTAAGGATAAATTGGACAATCAAATGAGTGATTTTGATTAAATGATAGACTACTAATTTATGTAGAAAAGGAAACCTTCTCGAAAATTAGTAATTATGTTATTATCGAGCGATATAAGACCATGAAAACTCGTAAGAACTATGAAAACATGTTTTTGTATTTGTAATATTCATTATAGTATTTTTATATTTTTCATTAAATAATTATGCCTACGCTTATTATATTTGTTAGATCTGCTCGTGTCGGTTCTACTACCTATGTTAAATACTTACATAGAAAATAATCTGAGTTTGAACTAAGATAAAAGAGATGGTAGAGGATAAGTAAACATATAAAAGAGAAATAATACAACTCAGGATTTTCTTCTATGTAAGGCAAGAAGAAGTGCCGGATGGGAAACATTATTTTACCCTATTAAAAAATATAAATATCTATCATTATATAAAAAGAATAACCTTTTTACAAATTTAAAAATAATTTTCCGCCAAAATCATTAATTACATACTAAAAATAACATAATTAAAAAAGTTTTAGCTAAATGTCCATAATTATCTCAATACAACACCTTTTTTATTTTTGGAAAGCTATTTATATGGATTCTTTCAATTATTTTTTGTATATATAAAAAAAACGAGATGGGCTATTTGATTTCCAAAAAAATCAATAGCAATAACTTGGTAATTATTAGTAAATATTTAGTGCGAATAATTTATATGCATATGTAATTTTTTTATTTAAGTTAATATGAAATCAATAATTGATCTAAATCTATTGATTAAAATTTTCAAAAATTTTCAATCAATAGATTTAATTTTATTTTTATTCATATACTACCATAAGATTTGAAGACACATTGGTTCTATCGTTTTGGAAAAAAAAAAAAAAAAAAAGAAGACACATTGGTTAATAAAATTAAAAATTTGTAATTTAATGTGTAGTCTAATTTTGAGTTCCAAATTCATAAGTCAAATAAGTAATTATTCATAACTTACGAGTCAACATTAACTTTGACGACGTAAATGAAATAGTCAATTATTAATAGTTTAATAAATTACTCAACTACTTCAATTTTTTGATTTTAATATTTTATATAAAAACAAAATCATCTAATTAATGAAACAATATAAGATTTATAATTATACTTATTATTCACATAAATTTTTAAATAGACGAGAATAACTTACAACTTACCTATATATTCGATTTAAATAAATTCGATTGTGTTTTTTATTCAAAACAATCAGATTACCAAAAAAAATTCCTTAGAACTTAAATTGAAAATTTGAAATTTAAAATCCCTTCTCATTTTAGTTGCCATATAATTGGGTTTAATTCAAAATCTCTTCCTCATATAAAGGATTTTTTTCAAATTGAATTTAAAAAATATCTAATCACATGCTTCTATCCATATCCTTAAATGAAGAATTTTGTGTCTCTTTAAAATTAACAAACCTCTTGGAAATTACAAAATCATCATGAATTTCCATTTTTTTGGTTTCAATCTGCACGAAATTCAAAATGGTTTAAGAATTTCAAATTAATTGAAATTCATATCTTTAATTTTTTCCATAACTTTCAAAATTTTACAATAATTAAATCAAATTACAAATGCATTATTTTCAAAAATCAAGAGGATAATTTTGAAAATAGACAGATTTTTTTTTTTAATTGTCTTAGTCTCCATTCAATATAAAATAAATCCACTTTATTTGCAAAATTAATAAATCTACATAAAGCGTGGAATTTTATGCTTATAAAATTTCTTTTTAAATAATAATAATAATTTTAAAATCTTTTGTACTCAAATTACTTAAAATAATAATAATAGTAATTTTCACAATAAGTAAAAAATAATAATAATTTTGAAACTTCTGTACTCAAATTACTTAAAATAATAACAATAATAATTTTCATAGTAACTAAAAAATAATGAAAATTTTGAAACTTCTGTACTCAAATTAATTAAAAGAATAATAATAATAATTTTGAAATTTTTTGTTCTCAAATTACTCAAAAGAATAATAATAATAATTTTGAAATCTCCTATACTCAAATTTTCAGGTACGGTAGTATTCGTCATAATTTTCAGCATCATGTCAATATTTATTTTATATATACTAGTTAAATTTTCTTTCAAAAACTTTATAATGTATTTATTTAGGCTTATAATATTTTATCATGTCATATTAAGAAAACATCTTTCATACAAATGTAAACTTTAATTTTTTAGATATATTTTCTTTACAAAATAGTTTAGAAAAGTTGTAGGTGACTTCATATCTTTTAATAATAATATAGAAATTTTTAGATAATTTTACATATGTTAATATAATATTTTAGGAGTTTTTAATTGTTTAAATATACAAATTTTATGTTCTCTTAAACAAGCTAATTTTATATCGTTTATAATAAACTGATATACCGTAAATTATATGGCATGTTAATCCCTCATTGTTAATTTATAATTATTATTTAATATCGTTTACCCTCATATTAATTTATAATATTTGTTCTTGCTCTTTTAAGAGAAAATCAATAGTGGTTCCCTACTTATTTCATTGGGTGACCCGAACTCGATACCTATTTATAATTACTATTTAATATTGTTTACTCGTGCATGACACGATATACGCACTAGTTTATATAAAAAAAATATAATCCCCCATACTATGGAAGGGGAGGTTATCCATCAAGATTTAGTCATTACCATGGCTGCGAACAAATTAATAAGAAATCGAAAGTAATGCAAAAGCAATATGGAAAGTTTAATTTAAAGCCGTATCAATCTTTTCTTCAATTCTTGAGAACACCCAGTTTGAGTCTTCCCCTTAACCTACATACACTGCTCGCAAAGGTCAGATCTTTATCGTCTTTCACTAACTTCTGCACCTTGCTTTTCGTATATTTGTTCAGTATTTTCCTTTTCCTTTTATGGGCTTATTATTATATGTTCATAAAGCGGAACATGCTAATTGTTTGTGTATTTACCAACTGCCACTTTTTGTTTTTCCTGTTTGATTGTGTTTCTTTCTTGTGCATCTTCATGCCCTTGTTTTAGATGGTTAAATGATTAAGCAAAACGAAAATAGATTGAGACTGAGTAATGGGTTTTGGCTTAGTTTAGCAAAATTTTAAGATTGAGAAAAAGGGCATAAAATGTATTCATTGCTAAGGTTCGGTACTCTCTCCAAGCTTTTCCCTTTCTGGTTAATTCTTGAATTGTGTATATTGATTTTGCTCGGATTTTCCGGTTGCATAAATAGGTTAGGCCAATGGAGAGTTTGAAAAACAGATATAATGGAATAAAAGAGAATGGGGACTTTATGTTCTCATGTCATCTATTTCTGGAAATTGAATTATTCTGAATTCCAATTTCTTGTGTGCATTTGTTTATTTCAGCTGCCTAGAGATCCGGCTGTGTTTAAGTTCCTGAAAAATTTCTCTTTTCCAAGTTGCTTAAATTCGTATAGTGGGATTACGGGCTAGATAAACTATGCAAAGGGATAGTGTTTCTGGTGGCCCATCAACACCTGGTGGGCCTACTGCACGGTTACGCAGACGCAGAGGTTCAAATGAGGTTAGTTATCTTTTCTGCATTGATTTCATGAACTGTAATTTTAGCTGTACTTTTTGTCAATGACATTACATTTGGTGGAAGCTTGTTTTCTGTGGCCATTATAGCATGAAATGAAGAAGGCCATGTTTTGGCACTTAAAGATGGAAAACAGTGCTTGCTAGATTAGTTCAATATTACTTCTTTCTTTGATGCTCAATTATAATGATGCTATCATAAAAGCCAATATCTTTCAAACTTTTGAGTCAGTTATTAAAACAATTTTTTTGTTTCAACTAAAGTATTTTAGACTTTGGTTTTATGTTTTAAAACATTTTTTATGCTTTTTGATATCAACTACCCTAGGTCCCTCCGGAAGTTGAGAAAGCTGATGGAAGCAATTTACTTGCTAATGATCGTAACAAGTACAAGTCGATGCTAATCCGTACATATTCAACTGTTTGGATGATTGGAGGCTTCGTCTTTGTAATATACATGGGCCACCTTTATATTTGGGCCATGGTAATTGTTATCCAAATTTTTATGGCAAAGGAGTTGTTCAATTTGCTTAGGAAAGCACATGAAGACAAAAGACTCCCAGGATTCAGGCTCCTAAATTGGTATGTCGACACTTTTTTTTTTTTTTGTTCACTTACCTTGCTTCATATCTTCTTAAATAACTCTGATTACTAATATATTATATATTGTTGGATTGCTTTTGACATTGAGGACAAAATCTTGTGCATACATATTGTAATTTTCTTGTTTGTTTATGAAAACATCTATTTTGGTCAGGCACTTCTTCTTCACGGCAATGCTGTTTGTGTATGGTCGCATTGTCAGTCAAAGGCTCGTGAACACTGTGACTACGGACAAAGTTCTGTATAAGCTCGTGAGCAAATTTATCAAGTATCATATGGTTACTTGTTATTTCCTATATATTGCAGGTTGGTAATCTTGCCTGTGCAGTATTGGGAATCTTTTATGATTGTTACACTCAGGATGACGAAAAATGGCCATGATTTTTCATATTATTATTCAGATAGTGTAAACATTAGCTCGTTGGTCATTGAACTAAATGTGGGAATTATCTATTCCCTTGGTGAATGTAGGTTTCATGTGGTTCATTCTTACACTGAAGAAGAAAATGTACAAGTATCAATTTGGGCAGTATGCTTGGACACACATGATTCTTATTGTGGTGTTCACCCAATCGTCATTTACTGTGGCAAATATCTTTGAAGGAATTTTCTGGTAATGCGGCTTCAAATTTTCATTTTGAGTCAACTAGTCACTTCGGACATTAGCTGCTTCCTCTCCACTTCCTTGATCAATTTCTTATGACATGAGTGAAGATTTTGAAAGTTTTAAATTCATTTTACGAGCATCTGAGACTTTTTGGACTCGTTTAAGAGAACATTCTTGATAGAGTTTGTTTCAGATTTATTTTAAATCTGTTGTTCTTATTTTGGTGTGTAAATTGGATATTTAGAATATACATTGAACTTTGGATGAGCAAACTTCAAACTCAGGTTGGCAATAATGCAGGTTCCTTCTCCCAGCATCACTCATTGTCATAAATGATATTGCTGCTTATATTTTTGGGTTTTTCTTTGGCAAAACACCTCTTATCAAGTTATCGCCAAAGAAAACATGGGAAGGATTTATTGGAGCTTCTGTTGCTACCATGGTTTCGGCTTTTTTGGTGAGAATTCATCCTGTTATTGGACATTGACTTAGATAATGTACAATCCTTGTCTAGTTTGGGAGTTTTTTTTTTTTTTTTTTTTGGCTATAAAAAATCTATTATGATCCTTTGCTGTCGTTATTCTTGGCAAAAACTTGACTTGAGACAAACCAAGGAATTAGCTGCAGGGGATCTTTGTAGGTGTCTCGATTGTTTGAACTTTGAAGTACATTCATCTCTTCGGTACTTCCATATAAACCTAGATAATTAGATGACAGAGAATAAATGATTGTTGAGTTTTTATTATAAAGAACATTTTCAAGTTTCTGATGAATTTGTTTTACTTGTTATTAGCTGGCAAATATATTGGGTCGCTTTCAGTGGCTGACGTGCCCACGGAAGGTAATTGCTCAATTATATCCTCTCTTCCTTTACTTTATAGTTTTTTTTTTTTTTAATATTTTAGGAAGCTCAAATCTTCCCGTGACCTTGAGTAGGATTTATCGACTGGCTGGCTTCAATGTGACCCTGATCCATTATTTAAACCAGAAAGTTATTCTCTCCCAGAGTGGCTTCCCGAATGGGTAAGTGTGTAATGAATTCAATCTGTTAAAAAACTGTTTCTTTTCTTTTAACTGTTTTCCTGGGATTAAAACATCGATAATTCATGCTTATTAAATATATTTTGTATTCATTGTATTTTTACATTTTTCATTCATCCCTTTGTTTCATTAGAACTTCAGGTAAAATTTTATTAAAACATCAATCTTGTATTTGTAGTAAATAAATGTAAAAAATCTGTAGTAGGCATAATGATGAAGGCCTGTTAGGAGGCATATTTTTTATTAATTAAAAAAAAAAAAACTGGGTTCAGCACTTCTGCAGGGCTGATATGAAACTTGTTACTATCATCCGCTTGAATCTTTCGAATATTTTTGCATTGTTTTGCTTTATAATTTATTATTTGGCTTATTAGAAAATGATCACTTATGAGCTATAATGTACTTTGACTTTTTGCAGTTCCCATGGAGAGAGGTGTCTGTTTTGCCTGTACAGTGGCACGCATTGTGTCTTGGTCTTTTCGCATCAATTATTGCCCCTTTCGGAGGGTTTTTTGCCAGTGGCTTTAAGAGAGCTTTTAAGATCAAGGTTTGTTGATATCATCATACATCTCGAGCTTTAAACTTTACTCTCGGCGATTCTTTTTTTGTCACTCTGCAAGTACTATTCCTATTTGCAAGTTAAATTACGATATTCTATTAATTTTTCATTTTTTTTACATGTATTTTAAATTCTTGTAGGATTTTGGTGATAGCATTCCTGGACACGGTGGCATCACTGATAGAATGGATTGCCAGGTTTATTTTACCTATTTTTTCAAGTATTAGCATGAACTGCATGGTATGTATTTACATAAATGGCTAGTCACTATTGTGTGGTCCAACATTTTACGACCATTTCGATTTATTTTTTTTCCGCTGAACATGATGTCAAATATTTGCTTTTAAGTTAGATGCCTGAAGGAAATTCATAATAATATTGTTCTTAATGGCCTTTGCATTGTGGCCATGGTTTTCTGAAAAATCACTTGTTTTGCAGATGGTGATGGCTGTTTTCGCATATATCTATCACCAGTCATTTGTTGTGCCACAGAGCTTGTCGATCGAGATGATCATGGACCAGGTACTTTAGTACACATGTAAACCACTTGTCGAGCCCCATCATATTCTTTACTTAAAAAATTACAAGTGAATATTTATTCTTTTTTTCACTTACTTTTAGATATTGATGAACCTTACGTTTGAGGAACAACGGGCATTGTACTCAAAACTCGGGCAGATCATCATGGAGAGGCAGTTTGGTGAATCATGACTCGTTATCAGAGTCGCCATATCCTTGTAATTTATGCAGCCATTTTTTATGCTAGTTCTGTACATGTTTTGTGATTCGACTTTTTCTTTGTTTTTTAGAAATATCTTTCTCTTTATTTAGGATAACTATTTGTCTATTTAGCTGCAGGCATTCCCTTATTTTCTTCCCTTCCATTGTATAGTGCTCAAGCTATTGATATGTGGTGATTCTCAAAGACTGTGTTCCCAATTTCTTTCTATTTTCCAAGTGAGCTCTGCCTCTGTTTTCCCAACAAGTGATATCCGTTGGCTATTGATGTAGTTATATTTTTCACAAATTAAATAAAAGTATATAGTTTCATAGTATATATTTACAGGAGATGTTACAGTCCCGTTACATTCCGTCGGGGTTTGTAACCGTTAGATAATCATATAACCGTTGGAGATAGTTGATCTAACGGTTACAAATCCTGACGGAATGGTTTCGTAACGGGATTGTAGCATTTCTCTATATTTGCATTCCATTCGGAAAGAATAATGAGTTGAAAGCAAAAAGTTCATATATACACACATGAGCTTCAACTTCCTAAGATTTGTATGAGAATGAATTTTGTTTTGCTAGATTTTGTATACACATTCCATTTGTATGAGAATGAATCTTGGATGGTTAGTTTATTCCGTAAATGCATAGGGATGTAAACGGGTCAGGTCGGCTGCGAGATTTGGCAAACCCGAACCCAACCGGTACTCGTTTATTAGTTTCGGGCTGGTTTCACTCGACGGATAATCGACTATCCGCTGGGTAAATGGATAACCCGATTTTATCTGACGGACATAGACCTGAATTGACTTGACCCGAACCGTATAAAGCAAATAAAATAAATATTATTATACTATACAATTAATTATAATATAACTAATAAATTGTAAACAAAGTATGAAAATTAAAATAAATCCAACAAATATATTACATTTTTTTTTTAAGAATTACAATGAGACTTATTCTATTATAGTCTACTTAATAGTATAATGACGTTTATAAAAAAAAAAAAAAAA